GATGGTGTCAGAATATCATTGAGGGGTTGGGAGGTCGGGGTGCCAATTGCATGGTTCGCCTAGGGTGCCAGTTGCTGGCAGCAAGTCTAGGGCCGCCCCTGCACGCACCCCCTTCACAAACCTCCCTGTTAGCTACAAGTAACAGAAGATTTACACTTATACAGGTTCTGGGGCTGGGTTAAGATATCAGCCGGATTACACATACCAGCCATGCCATAATCACACCCCATACCCACACCGTTAGACCCTGAACTCCTAGGAGGATACAGTCTCTGCCATTGTTCCTTCTCTGGATCTGGAGTTTCCTGGGGGTGTTGAACAGTGATTGGAGCATCCGTGGTTAGTTGGTGAAGTTGGAGTGCTCAGCAGCTTAGTTTTCACCACTTCAGCTATGGCCTTCTCTTTAGCACATCTTGCCTGTGCTTCCACTTCCACTCACCTCATCTGTGCCTCTAATTCTGCTAGCCTTGCCTTGGCCTTCACTTGTGCACGCTTCACCTCGGCCTCTATTTCTGCTAGCCTCACCTGTTTTTCCGCTTCCACTTGTGCTAGCCTCGCCTCCCTTTCTGCTTTTATTTGCTTCATGCATAGTAAGAACTCCACCTCTTTCTTAGTTAGAGGTCTGCCTGAAGGAACATGCTCCTGTCTCCCCTCCTTAGGGTGTGACTCTTCCCTGGAGCAAGACATCTTGCCCTGATCTACCCTAGCTATCCAGTTGCCCCGAAAGCTAGAAAAAAAACTGGGTTGGACTGTCTGGCTTTAGGTTACCCTTTGTGTGCCTCTCCCCAAGGCAGCAACAGAAAAGAAAAAACAAAACTCCAAAGCTTACAACTAGTCAAAAGAAAAATCTGTGTCCTTTTAAAATTCTGCATTCTCAAAATTGTCAAGGCTGTTCCCCACTCTGGCACAACTAATGCAGAAGTGGGGCCCCACAAAAGCACCCCAAAACCTTGTCTCTACAGGCTCGGGTACAAAAAACTTCCTCCCCAAATCCTAATACCCGGATTTGGGGAAATCCGCTGCCACCACCCAAGTAATTCCAAGAAAACCAAGTAAAACTCTCCCCTGCCCCAACCTCTTTTTAACTTGGAGTTGGCAAAAACAGAGGGGATTCACAGACAACAATGGACTCTGCCCTTATAATTAGGCACTGAGTCAAAGGACACAACAATCAACCAATTCCGGTTAATTAGAAAAAAGAAACAAATTTTTATTATCAAAATAAAACTACCATTGCAAGCATAGTAAAGTGGCTAGATGGAAAGAGCCACTAACTGATCTAGGTACTCAGGTGGACCCCCCCCGGGCTAACAGCTTTAATTACAAAAGAGAAAAAAATGCACTTAACAGCTCAGACATTAGTTTCAAATTTCCAAATCAGGAAAAACAACAAATCCTGACCGACTATCTAAACTTTTCCCTACTTACACCTTATAAGAAGTCCATTCTTGGAGAGAGAAGTGTCTCCCATCTCCCCCAGTCTTGGAAGAAAAAACTGCTCTAAAACTCAAACCCAGAAGAGAGAGAGAAAACCCCCTCTCTTTCAGTTTGAAATTCCTACCTGCATTGTTATTGGCTGACCACCCAACACCTGGCTAGGTACAGGAGGAATTAGTTAACCCCTTAGTCACCAGCTGCTGATCAGCGCTCCTGATTATGAGACCTTGAGAGGAAATTGAAATGTTCACATCCAAGGGTGACGGGTCCATCATCAAGGCAAGATTGGCATCATTATCTGCTCCCACACTGGGGTCTGCATTCTGTAAGAGGTTCAGGAGGCTGCTGCTGCTGGCTCTAAACTTTGCTGTCTTTTGATTTTGAACTCTAAGGTCACTGACTCGATCCCTGCAACAGACCCACCTGTGATTGGGCTCTGGCACCTTACCAAGCCTGCAGACACCAGCGCAGAGTCCTCACTCAGGATGGGTTTGAGGCCAGTGGCAGCAATGGGCTCCCCCGTGAGGGTGTAATTGAGGCGCAGGGTGATGGGTGCCAGGGTGTCCTCAGGGCAGAACTGGAAAGACAGAGACATGTCGGGCTCCTGGAGGGAAAGGGAGGCTGGGCAGGATCCAGAGAGAGGGTTTTTTGCTAGGCAATTTGGAGCAAGGGGCAGGGTGGAAGGTACAGACACAGCAGGAGGGGAAGAAGCTGGGACCCCCCACACACACTCACCAGTAACATTATCTGGTGCTTCTCACATTTCATCTCAATGCCCAGACGGAGGTCCCCGCTCAGGACGGGGCCAGTGGAGCCGAAGCCAGCTCATAACATTATCTGGTGCTTCTCACATTTCGTCTCAATGCCCAGACGGAGGTCCCCACTCAGGACGGGGCCAGTGGAGCCAAAGCCAGCTCGGATCTTCATCCGCCCAGGGTCTAGGGCCAGGCTGTATTGGATCATGCTAAAGATCTCGTCACCTATGAGGGAGGGGAAATGAGGGTCAGAGAGAGACTGAGAATGGGACTCTCAAGGGGAAATGGGACATAGGTCTTTTCCCCCAAGGGCGCTGGCTCCAAATCAAGCCTCAAGCAAGGGGCGGGCTAGCTCAGGAAAGTGGAGAATGGGGAATAGGTTTGGTCTGACCTAGGTTGTCCCTGGTGCTCTTTGTGATGGTGAAGCAGATCTCTGTCTCGCTGGCCTCCGTGCTGAGTTGCTCCTGCTCCTGGCAGTTGATGGCTGAGGTGGGAATCATAGTGGGCTGGAAATTGATGGTGATTCCAACTCTGAGCACTGGTCTGGACCTGGCATGGGGGGGGCAAAGAACCATCGTCAAGCTACTCCCTGAAATGAGGCCAGGCCCCATTGCTCCCCTCACCCTCCCACCCAGCTTGGAACTGCTCCCAGAAGCTCAGGGAGACCTATTATGGATGCATAGCACTGCCAGAGCAGATGTTGGGGGAAGAGAAGGGAACAGAAAAGCTGTCAAACACACACACACACACACACACACACTGTATTGCTGCTATGTGTGGGCTTGTCTACGCTACAGATAGCTGAGTTTAATAACTAGTTCTCATTCTCAAAATGATGCTTCAAAGCCTCTCTGATTCAAATAGCCCCCCTTGCACCCCTGCAATAGCCCTAGTATCTGGCTGCTCAAAATCAGCAGCTAGACAATCTGCCTCAGCACACCACGCTGGACAAGCTTTTCATCCTTAGCCTCACAAAGACGAGAGCGCTTAGGGTATGTCTACAGGATGCAAATGTAGTATACCGAAATTGCTAATGAAGGGCAGGATTTAAATACAATGAGTTTTAACAGTTATTCCGAGAGAAGGGTTTTCTCTCGAAATAACGCATCTACACAGGGCGATTTATTGTGCAATAATGCAATTTCAAAATGGTGGCTGGACGCAGTTATGCTAATTAAGCATGGGATATTTCAATCCCCACGCTTCATTAGCAATTTCGGTACACTACATTTGCATCCCTATCTCGAGATAGGGAGCAAATGTAGACATACCCTTACAGAATAGCTATAACAATTAGAATGTTTTCCTCACTTAGATCTAATCTGCCATAAAGGAAACACCAGCACACTTTTAATCTGCTAAATGCACATTCCACAATCATTCTTCATCTACTCAGACTATTGATGAAGCTCTAATTGCGCAATCCAAGTTTCCCATGTAAGGCTTCATGAGCCATAGGAGTATAGGTACACTGGGTCTCCCAGGATCACAATGAGTATTTCAACATATCCCTCTGTAATCTTTTGGTCTGGAAAGACAGTCACTGCTTGCAGCTTTCTCTACAGGTCCATGTTTCTGCCAATGCATGTACCATGAACCTTCCCAAATGACACTGCCTTGATGTCAGTGAAACACTCATGGGGATCCACAGTCACCTGCAATACTATAGTGAAGTGCTGATGTACTCCATGATGGTCTAGGGACAAAGTTGGAATATGCATTCCATCAATTATCCTTCTGCAGTTTCTCATTTCCACAAAGCCATTCACTATTTCATGCACAATATCAAGAGTCATTGTCTTTCATAGCAGGATTCAACTGATGGCCCTGCACACTTGCATTAACACTGCCCTTGTGATTGACTTCATGACTTCAACTGATTTGCAACCAACTGGTAATAGTCCAGGGTAGCCAGCATCTACAATGCAATCATCATTTGCTTCTCCACCAAGAGGGCAGCCCTCATTTTGGTGTCCTTGCACTGCAGGGATGAGGGGAGCTCTGTACACAGTTCCAAGAAGGTGGTGTTCCACATCCAAAAGTCCTGTACCCACTGCTTATCGTCCCAGAGCTGCACAGTGATGTGATCCCTACCAGTCAGTGCTTTTTTCCCCAAGCCCAAAAGTGACAGTCCACTATTTTCAGCTGTTCTGTGAATACCAAAGCAATCTGATGTTGTTTCTTTCCCTTGCACACAGCAGGTGGAAGCTCATGATACGCTGCCCCACCATTCATGATGTATTCGCAACAGTGACCGCAACAGCAGAAAGCCGTGCAGGATCCGTCCTTTTGGACAGAGATGGCAGGCAAACAGTAAAGAAGGGCCACTGAAAAATTCTACGGAATACACTTGAAAGCCGATGGAATATTGGGATGAAAAGAACTGCATCATGGGATAATGAGCCTGCATCCATGATGCACTGTGATCCACTCCACCTTCCCACCACTCCTTGCTGAAGAATGTGGTGAGTAGAGAGACAGGTACCCACAGTTCAATGTTTTCACTGTCAATGCAACAGCACCAAGTGTAGCTGTGCTCTGCCGACATAAGGAGCTTAGTATGAAGATGCAATAGTGATGAAATGATAGCACTTTTTGACCGTCGACCTCACTTGTACTGAAAAAATTCCATAGCATAGACAAGGATTGACATTGCCCTGTGGGGCAGGGGCAGGACACAGAGGGACTCACCTCAGCAGCAGGACCTGCCCTTGTGCTCCCACCGCGATGTCCGGCAGCCCATCCCCCGTCAGGTCTGTCCCGCCACTGACGGCCTGGCCAAAGTAGTGCAGCCTGCTGGGGAACTGCGCCCCCCCTATGCGCTGTGGGGCAGAGAGAGCAGTAAGGAGTGCGGAAGGGATGGCTGATCTTATAAAGTGGGCAGCAGAGAGAAAGGGCTAGGAAATGGGTGAATCTTCTGTATAATGATCATTAGGGGGCAGCAGAGAGGAATAGGAAAGGGGCAGCTAGGGGCTCACCAGCATTAGGGGGCTATAGGGCGCCATGATGTCACTTCAGGGCTGTGTGCTGAATCTTCCCTGCAGGAGCTGGGCTCACCTGTCTGTACCGGGGACTGAGGCCTCCCTTTTCCCCATGGAAGATGTACAAGGCTCCGTGGTTGTTGTCCTCCATGGGGGCCCCGATGGCCACGTCCGTCTGTCCGTCCCCGCTGATGTCCCCGATTTCAGACATGCTGGCCCCGAAGCGCCCAGACACCTGCCCCACCTGCCCCTGCAAAGTCTTGCTGCAGATCAGCGTCGCCCCCTGCAGGCCCATCCAAAGAGACAGGAGAAGAAAGGATCAGCACTGACTGCCAGGGGAGAGCGCCCCCTACAGAGATCCTTCCCTGCTCCCTGCAGCACAGCGCCCCCTAGGGATGCTCTGGAGCACTAGAGCCAGCACTGACTGGGAGGGATGAGCACCCCCTACTGAGCTTCTATCCTGCTCCCTAGAGCTCCACTCCTGCTACTGCCATTCTCATTGTCGCAGCCCCACAGCACTCCAGTCAAACTAGAACCTCAGGCCACCCATCTTCCCCATTGCACCGTCCTCTTTCTTACCGGCCAGTTAATCAGGCAGACACAGACCCGGCCTCCGGTCGAAGGTGTGTGGTACATGGGGGCTCCAATCAGAATCAGGTCTGTGTTCTCATCACTGTTCAGGTCCACAGCGCACAGTGTGCCCCCAAAATATGAGCCAATCTGGAGATGCAGATAAGTTACCCCTCAATTTCATCCCCTCTCCTTTCTCCTCCCATTGGGAGCCTTCTGGCCTAAGGGGAAAAGGATTCAGCCCAAATGTCCATTCCATCTTTAGCATCAATCTCCTGCAGCACAGCAGGTGGCACCATCACTGTGTGTGTTCTTGAATGTAAATCTTGCAGGTAAATCTTGGCGGGACAGGGATGCTGAATGTTAACTATCAGAGGGGTAGCTGTGTTAGTCTCAATCTGCAAAAGCAGCAAGGAGTTCTGTGGCACCTTATAGACTAACTGAAGTGTTGGAGCATAAGCTTTCGTGGGCAAAGACCCAAGTGGGTCTTTGCCCACGAAAGCTTATGCTCCAACACTTCAGTTAGTCTAAAAGGTGCCACAGGACTCCTCGCCACTTTTGAATGTTAACTGCGGTTCAATTTTCTCTTAAAGGTTGGACTACAAATAAATTTCATTTGCTTATTAAGCCACTCATCACCTTTGTATGGCTGGAATGTATAGGCAGTTGGAGCTTAGAAAAATTCACTGTAATTGTGGTGTGATCTTTTCCAGGCTGTTTACATCACTAATAACATTATTTTCCTTGTCTGAATCTCTCTTGCCCAGATCCACAAAGCTAATTATGTGATTAACTCCTAACTTATCTGCCACTGTGATCCACAAAACCTCTGCATGGCTGCCATTGACCCCTGTAGGTACCTAAACTGACTGGGTGCTTAAGTTTTTGCAGTAGAATTTCCTCATATTGATGCTTCAAGGGCCGCACATGTGCCTTACTGCCCTACTCTAAGCAACCAATTGCCCATTTCACACCACACTCCAGTATGATCCACAAACCGTGGGAAAACAGGCGCTTCTCCATCTAATTCCCCTGTGGAACCTCTCTGGTACCAGTGGCCAGCAGAGAGTTGACTCAGCATCTACAATTTCCCATATCAGTGCTCTACCCCTGTGCTGTGGGATATTCTTGTATAGCCTCCCTCAGTCTCTAAAGTTGTTCCACTTTAACTAATTAAGTCTGAGTTGGGCCACAGAACATGTGCAAATCACAACTACCCCATGCTCAGTGGTCAGAGCACTCCTTGAGAAAGGGCTGATCCCCGTTAAAGCCTTCTCCGCAATCAGGCAAAGCAGGGATTTGACCAGGGGTCGCCCATGTCCTAGGTGAGCATTCTAAACCTTGGGCTGCAAGGGAAACTCTCTCCTCCAGCTAGTTTGAAAAGATCTTGGCATCTCTGAACTTGTGCCTTCCTCTGGCATCCATCATTGGCAGGGGCAGTTGCCTTCCTGCAGCATCACAATGCCTAAGTCCCTTGGTGGGTCAGGGCCTCCATCTGTACCTGTCTTATGAGTTCTGTCTAGACTGTCTAGAAGGCAACAGCAGTAGGATATTGGAGAGATGCTGAATGTGAGCTGTGGCGCAGTTCTCTAACCCAGTCAAGCTTACTCCCTGCCTGAGGCTCTCTCACTCAATTGTGCCTGAAGGTAAAACCAAACACAAAAGTACACAATGTCAAAACCTTAAAGGCTTCCTCCAGAACCCTGTTCTCTCATATCCATGTTCCATATTACCTGCTCTCCCATCACCTCCGATCTGAATGCCCATTCCCCACTCTTGGTATCTCGGCCGAACAGGACAACTTTGCCAGTGTGTTGGTAGCGAGGGGCCCCGACCACATATCTGCTCTGCCCATTGGCTGTGACAACCTGAGATGAATAACCTCAAAGGAAGAGAGGGACATGGGGAGGTGAGAAAACAGCTATACAACAGTGTCATGGGTTGGACCACCCCATTTGGTGTGCCACCTCATGTACTGGGGTTTCACCTCTACCAGCCTGGATTCCCTCTCCGTTTTGCTGAATTATGTTCTCGGGCCTCCTACAGAACTCATACCCACAAAGGGCACACCCAAGTGGAGTCACATACTGAAGACAGCGCTGTGTGACAGGACTCGCCTGGCTCTTACGTGCACATCCCTTTTTGGGGATAAACCCAAAATACTCCCGTCTTGCTCTATGCAGAAAGGTCTGCACTGTGCAAGCTCATAAAAATTTGCCTTCTCCCTCAATATGGAAAGAGGTATGCACAGCTTCTCCACTCTCCCACCCTCCTATGAATTGCACAAACTAAGTTATAATACAAAAGGTGAATGTTAAGGGATTATAAGGGAGAGCAAACAGAACAAAGCAGATTGCCTAAGTTAATAAACATAAACTGCCAACTGCGCTGAGCACACTAGACAGGTAAGACAGAGATGAGCAGATTCTCACCCTGAGTGAGAAACAGGCAGTAGATTCTCAAGGCACAAGAGGACCTGGCTTTCCCAGGCTTTCATACTCAGGCTAAAAATCTTTCTAGCTCAGACTGTCACATCCTACAGTTCAGTCCTTGCCTCTACGGTGTTTCCAGGTGTGTTGTTGTAGGGACAGTGAAGCTCCCTCTTTGATGTCATTATCACCATTTTAAATCTTCCCACTTGCTAGAAACTTCTTTTGCTGGGACCTGGGTCAGACAGTTCCCCTTGTGGCGTGCTATCTCGGAGAGGTTTCTTTCGTACCTAGTTCCTGGGGTAACCCTGGTGCTTGTGCCCACTGCCCCAATGATCCGGGTAACACCTTTTACTGTTGTACCTGGAAAGCTGCTGTGGGTGTTGTGAACCTCACCTCACGTTTCAGTAACATGTACGCAGCCAAACACCACAGCTTTACATACAACAATAACACAAACAATCCAAAGAGATGTTAATGTTTAGCAGAGCAAGACTTTTAGAATGATCCCTCACAGGACATCCTTTGGACACAACACCCCCTCCTTACAGGACAGTGAGGGATCTTGGGATCAAAAACAGTGCTACACAGTGATCCCTTTCTGAGAACAGAGATGCAGCCACCTCTGGGGTGAGGAGCGGGGGCTGTTTACATAGGTAAGGGGAAATCTTTGAGTTTATTCTTACCAAGATAAGCATCATTCATGTCCCTGGAGGTTCTGGATATGTTGATGAAGCTCGGCTTTCCGCTATTTCCATACAGGTAAATCCCACCGGACCAATCATAGGCCCCCACTGCTCCCAGCACAGGGCCATCCTAAGCAACACATACATCGCAAATGGGACTGATTACAAGAAACAGACAACACAGCATGTATGTATCCTCTGGCACTGTGCTGGGACACTGGGGAAGGTGGTGATGAGCAAGGCAGAGAGCACCCCCGACTGGGTCCCCACACCAATCACTTAATATAGCACCCCCTAGTGCCTGCCCTGAGAGGGAGGGGAGGGTGCCCCCTTCACTGCTCCGGACTAGGAAAGGATTGTCTCCCCTACAAGCACTAGGCTAACCAGCGCCTGTTTAGCTTGAAAGTGCTGGCAGGGCCCCAGCGCAGGGCAGCATATGACACACTCTAGGGCCAGGCATCACTCACCAGGGACAGCAGGGAGCTGAACCCCTCCTGAGACATCTCCAGCTGGAATGAGCTGCCACTCTGGGACTGGGTGCCTGGAGGGACAGACAGACATGGGAGAGACCATCATAGAGGGGAAAGGCCCTGTGTCCCACTCCCTGCTCCCCAGAGCCAGCCCTTCCCCCCACCTCGAGGCTGGATTGGATCCAGCACCCCCCAGAGAAAAGGTCCCTGTATCTCATCCCTCACAATCCCTTGAGCCAAACAGGGGGGCCTGGATGACAAAGGTATCAGGGGTATTCATGAAGAAACAGCAGTAGGTAGATATTGGACGGAGAAAGAGAGAATATTTGGGGCCTATTTGACCTCTGGATTCCCAGCAGCCCCCCATCACCCATCTGGGCTTTGAGAACTATCTCTAGAGCCCCTGGACCAGTGCAGCCCAGCCCTGGCTCCGGTACCTTCGATGGGGAAGATCTTCTCCTGCAACTGGCTCTGGATGCCCTGGAGGGCGTCGAAATTGTCCACCCAGAAGACGTGCTGGTCGGCGGGAGCAGAGGCGATCTCTCGGAGCTCCTGTTGGGCAGCATAACTGGAGAAGGCCCGGCCAACCTTCACAGGACAGAGGGAGTTGCAGGGGAGACCAGGGCATCAGCATCAGTCACAGCCAAGAGCCCTGGGCATGTACCCACCTGCTTGAGCCCTTCTGGGCTCTACAGAGGCACAGCTCAGCCAACACCAGGTGCCACTCAGGTATGCAGGGTGGCTCTGGAGCAGCTGGTTATAAGTATCACTAGTGTGAGGAGACGGGCCCACAAGGCTGGAGTTATGGGGCCTGCCCCATTTCAGAACCAAGTTTTGTAAGTTGTATTGGCAGCAGGGCACAGGTGGCTTCTCACCATGAGGATTGCTAACCCTCTGGGGCATACATGACTGAGTCCCCAGGGCGCAGGGAGGGATGAGTGTGGGCCATGTCTCTGGGGGCGCCTCAGAGTGGGTTGAAGAGATGGGACCACCGAGTTAGTCTGGGTGGGTTGTTTCAGCCAGTTCTGCAGTGAAGTGCAGGCACCTCCCAGTCGTTGGGCCCAACATAAAGCAGTGATTCCCAAACTTTTCAGCATCACACCCCCTTTTTTATTTTTGAGAAACCCTCATGCCCCCCTCCCAAAAAAATAGCAGCAAAACTTGGGGTGGGATTGATTGGTGGGGAGTGGCTGGGTCGCCTCGTGCCCCCCCTGGAATTTCTTCAGGCCCCCCCCCCCCAGGAGGGCACGCCCTTTGGGAACTCACGTCTAGATGACGGGAGCACAGGCACCCACACACGCAGCCAAAAGTTTGTCATCACCGATGGAGAAGGGGACCTGTCAGGAGCACCCCGGGACAACCCTGACCCGACGACACTGAACGCTGGCAGTACGAGCCCTGACAGATACGACGCTGTAGC